CCTCCTTCCGGCCCCCTCCGGCCACCTCCGCCAGCCCTCGGCCCCCTGCACTGAGTGAGTGGCGCCCTCTGTCCCCGATGGGCGGCGCCAGGCCCATTCTTTACCACACAGGAGGCCACACGTCCTGCGCAGGGGTCACTGGATCAGAGCCACACAGGGCACAGCAGGCCGGGCTCGTGGGGCTTAGGGGAGAGACAGAAAGGCCCACTGCAGATGGGGTGTCCTTCCTGTGAGGGGCAGTGCCAGCTGGCCAGGCCTCTGTGGCTCCAAGTGGCACTGGGGCGGGTGAGGAGGGGGGACAGGGCCCGGTGAGAACCGTGCACCTCGCGCCTGGCATTGGCCCTTGGCTCTCAGCTCCAGGAGGCTGCCTGTGAGGTGGCTCAATGTTCTGAGACATTGGTGCCAGGGCCAGGGTTCAGGGGTCAAGGGCTGGTCTGGGCCAGGGGCACTGAGCCATGGTTTTCGGGCCCATAGCTTCTTCTGACCAGCGTTCGACAGTCGCCTCCCCGCAGCAGGGGCACAGTGGGGCAGCAGCCCCGCTACTCACAGAGACGGTCACCTCTCACCACGCAGCCACGGCTCCTGACACTACGGCCACCTCTCCTCACACAGGGAGCTCCCGCCCAGCCGTGCTGCCTGACTCCTCCACAGCAGGGGACCCTGGTCCTGTCTCCAGCAGCCACAGTTCCGTGCCCAGGTGAGCCCAGGTGGTCCCTGGACCACCTCTAAGCCATAAGTGACTGCCACTCCTCCCTCTGCATGGACATCTCAGCCCCCGTGCCACCATCAGGCTGGCTCTTGAGCAGTGCACATCCTGAACCACAGGAGCCAGCAGCTCCACTGCCCTGGACAGAGCCTACCTGAGGTGAAAGGTCCAGGCCGGCCCTGCCCCACCTCTGTTCCTTTCCCCACCTCAGGTGCAGCCACCCCAGCTCAGTGGCATTTTCCTGCCCTGGTTGCATCAGTGCAACAACCTCCAAACACCATTCCCTTCCCAGCTGCAGTCCCAACAAGGAGGAAGCGTTCAGGCTGCTCACTGGGGTTCAGGAGGCTGCGAATGGGGGTACATTGGGTGGGGGCACCCAGCTGGGGCTGGGCTCCCAGGGTGGTCTGGCTGGACACTGGGGTCCCCGTGCCTCTGATCTCCCAGGGACAGGGTCTCGTATTGCCCCTGTGCTGGGGCTGGGATCAGCAGTCCTCGCCCGCCTGGTGTGAAGGCCCGCTAAGGGCTCCCCGGCCCCTGGCGCCACCCACAGCAGGGGACAGTGCCCAGGTCCCTGCTGAGCTTGCAGAGTGGACAGTGAGGGCCACAGGGCTCTCCACCTCGGCCACGCGCAGCAACTCTCATGGGGCGCTGGCCTCTGGCCAGGACAGGAGAGGCTTCCGGTGACACCGCCCACCGTCTGTCTGCAGCGTGTCCATCCCCACAGCCCGGCTGCTGGCCCCCATCCTGGTGATCCTGTCCCTGCTGCTGGCCGCAGGTCTCATCGCCCTGGGTGCCCACGTGCTCCAGGGGCGGAGGCCAGGTGAGTAGAGTGGAGAGGCTGGGACACTGGCTCTGGACGGCCCCAGCCTGGCCGCTGCCCTCCAAGGGTCCCATCTCCCCAGCCGGGAGACACCAGGCACACGGGCCCTCGGCCTCTGCCCGTGCCTGCCTGCGTGGTCCCCAGCCCTGATCTCTGGGAGGCCCTGTCCCCCCTGCAGGCTCAGCTCTGTGCCCAGGGCCCAGCCAGGTGCAGGATGAGCTCGATGCCCCCCCTGGGTCTGCAAAGCTCAGCCTATGCCCAGGATCTGCTGCTTTAGCTGTGTGCCCACCCTGAGCCTCAGTTTCATATGTATATCAAATGGGAATAGCATACAAGCTGCAGGTGTCACTTAAAGTCTTCTAACCAGATGCGGTGACGTACATCTGTGATCCCAGCACTTGGAAGGCTGAGGCAGGAGGATCGCCATGAGTTCCAGGCCAGTTGGGCTACATAGTGAGACCCTATCTCAAAAAAGAAAAATCTTTATTTAAAAAAGTAAGCTACTGGGCCAGGGATTTAGCTCAGTGGTTCGGTGGCCTGCCTTGCAAGCGCAAGGACCCGAGTTCGATCCCCGGTACCAAAAAAAAAAAAAAGAAAAAAGTAAGCTACTAATATTAATTTTAATAATATAGTTTATTTAACTCAACATATCCAAACCATTATCAACCCAACAGGGAGCCGAAAGGAAAGCAGAGTGTCCTCTGACTGCTGGATTGGAATCTGCATTTTAAGAAAGTGTGTGAGGGTCGGTCCTGTTGTGACCTCGGCTTTTTGTTCTTGCAACAAATTCCTGTTAATCAATGGCTTCAGGGGTCCCCCTGGCTTGAGGTGCGGGAAGCTCCAGCCCTGTCCCTCTGGCCAGAGCAGAGCCTCACCTGGGCAGCTGTCCCTGTTCCTGCTTCCTTCAGGGACCCAAAGCCCCACAAGGTGACACTTCCTGTGGTGCAGGGCGACCTTGGCAAGAGCAGGGTCCCCTTTGTCCCCCCAGCCCCTGGCACCTCCCCTGCGGGCTTCACTCCGGCCTTCCTGGGTCTCTTCCAGCTCTTTGGGCCGAGGACACACAGCGGGGCAAGAAGCTGTACTTCCCGGCCGCGGTAAGGACCCCAGGCCCCAAGCCCCCCAAAGGCAGGGCTCACCCCACCTAGAAAAATCTGTGCACCTGAGGGTGGAGGCCGGGCGGGCGCCCTATCGTCACCCACTGCACCCGCATAGGCGCAGGCAACTCCCCTGCCTGGCACCGCCCCCAGCCTTCAAGGCTCCCAGGTGCTCTCAGCTCTCTGCACCCTGCAGTGCTGGCAGCGGGGGAGCTGTTAGAAATGCACTCTCCCCGCCAGGGATGGGGACACACGCTGGTCACTCCAGCACTCCAGGAGGCTGAGGCAGGAGGAACCCAAATTCAAGCCCAGCCCGGACACCCTAGGGACTCAGTGAGACCCTGGGGGTGGAGCTCAGTGTGAAGGCCCTGGGTTCAGACCCCAGTGCTGCAAAAAGGAAAGAAAGGTGAGGGGAAGACGGAAGGATTGGAGGCAGGCAGGCAGGCAGGCAGGGAGGGAGGCAACGCAGAGCCGGGACCTGGACCGTGTGACAGCTAGACTCTGCTTTTGCTAAAGGAGAAAGCGAAGCCTTCCGTGTTGCCTGAGGTCACACGGAGGGGGCCCCACGCAGAGGCAGGACGGGCTCTTGGCGCCCACCTTCTCTCCCAGACCCCTGAGCCGTCCTTGGCTGACACCAGGCTGAGGGGCCACGGGGCCTGTACAGGCTTCCGAGATGGGCCTCGCTGCTCCTCCGCAGGAAATGGGTGTCCCACCTGCCCCTCTGCCCCTGGACTCCTCCAGCCTGGGCAGGAAGGGGGAAGGCTACCCCCTTCTTTCCTGGCGCCAGCAAGGACAAAAGACTCAGCGGTCCCCAGGAAGGGCAGTGGGATGCATCTCCTGTACCACAGGAAGCAGCTGCTGTCTCGGGAAGCTGAGGACAAGGCCAAAGGTGGCCAGGGAGCGAGGGCGCAGCCACCGTGGCAGAGCATGGGGCCTGGGGTGACCACTGCAGACCTTCTGGGCCGGTTCCCCAAACTCTGTGACAAACCCCACGCCTGTCCCTGGTCCCTGCTGCTGGGCTGTGGCCAAGTAACCCCCATCCTCACTGTCCTGACTCTGCCTCCCTTACAGCCACTGGAAGCCAGCTGGGTCCCCAAGGACACTGTGGTCAGCCTTGCCAGACACCCCAACCCCCTCACCAGCTCCTCCCTGGGCTCCACCATGGAAATCTGCTACCTGAACCAGGTGGGAGAAGGGTGGGCCCATCTGACCAGGAGGGCAGCCAGGGCCAGTTCACCCAAGGGCACAGGACTCAGCCTTTCTTCTTTGTCTAGGAAATTATTTTTTTGCTTTTTTGAGATAGGGTCTCACTGTGTAATCCAGGCTGGCCTTGAATTCACAGTGACCTTCCTGCCTCAGCCTCCCAAGTGCTGGGATTGCAGGCTTAGGCAGTTGCCTAATCCTGGGCTGCAGGGGTCCCAGATGGAGCCTTGGGGAGCCTAAGAGGCTGAGGGAGGTGGAAGGGGCAGGAGGCCCTGGGGGAGAAGTTGTGTCCCTGGGTTACCGAGGCTTGACAGAGGCTGGAACCTGGGGCAAAGTGGGGTGGGCATGGCTGCTATCCGAGAGCCCACCTCACAGCACCCCAGCTCTGCGTTTCAGCCCCACGCTATCTCTCCAGGCCAGAGGGGAGGAGGAAGCCCTTTCGCAGGCCCCCGAAGCAGCTGAAACCCCAGTGCAGTGCAGAATGTCAGAGGAGCCAGACCTGGCCGAGTTCATCGCGGTGTAGCTGGGGACCCCGCCAGCTGGCCTCACTCCAGTGCTTCTGATCCCACCGCTGCCCTCCCCAGGCTCCCAGCACCTCCACACTGAGTGACATCCCCAGCTCTTGTTATTATGAGACAGGATCTCACTAAATTGCTAAGTTGCCCAGGCCGGGCCTGAACTTAGATCCTCCCGCCTCAGCCTCCCAGAATGCTGGGATTATGCCCAGCACCCAGACTCCATGTGACCGAGAGGAGAGTAGGACTGGGCTGTGCACCCTCACTGGGTCAGGCAGTCTCCCCTCCAAGAAACCCACGCTGGGACCCCCACTCTCCTCCCAGCACCTCCGACCTGGTGCTGGCTGAGCCCACTTCTGTCCAGAATGAGGCTGTGAACCTCACGCCCCACTCTGGGGGACACCAGGCCCCATCAGAACCCTGATCGTTTTGAGGGTGGGCCAGGACTCTGTCTAATGAGTGTCTGGGGACTTCCCGGGGTGAGGCCCCTGGGTCAGATGAACCCTCGGACGCCAGCTTGTGGGGTCCACACTGGGCTGCGGATCCCTGCTCCGCCCCTGCGCCCTGACCGTGGGTGCAGGAAGCACAGCTCCTTCCTGCCCGGAGAGGCCTCATGTGCCTGGGTCCTGGGTTGGGGCCCGGGTCCTCTGCTCGGCCCCATCTCCCCTTCTCCAGGCTGAAGTCCTGGCACCCACGCGCCTCTCCTGCCCAGTGCTGGCAATGTGAGCTCCCTCCTCCACCCACAAGCCCCTGGAATAAAGTGCTTGCCCGCCGCCCGTGGAGTTACTGAATTAGTTCTCCATCGCTGGACGTTCAGTTCGCTGCTGTTCTCACTATGACAGACAACAGCGTGATCCACAACAGCACAGGGCTTTCCCTGCTCCTGGTTCTGTCTAACAAGGATTTGGGAAGGGGATGGTGTTCCACGCCTGTGAGCCCAGATATCTGGGAGGCTGAGGCAGGAGGATCATGAGTTCAAGGCCAGCCCGGGCAATTTAGCGAGACGGAGGGAGGGAGGGAGAGGGGAAGAATCGGGTCAGTGTGTGCAGGGTTTGAGGTGTAACTCCATGGTAGAGCACCCTGGGTTCAATCCCCAGCGTAGCTGTCATCCTAGTACTCGGGAGGCTGAGGCAGGAGGATCACAAGTTCAAGCACAGTCCAGGCAATTTAGGGAGACCCTGTCTCAAAACAAAGATAAAAGGGCTGGGTGTAGCTCAGTGCAAAGGCCCTAGGCTTAACTTTTAGTACTGAAAAAAAGTTGTTTTTGTTGTAAATCAGTCATATACCTTAAGGGTACAGTGTATCTTTTCAGTAGAACAGTTAAGGATGTTCTGACTAGAGACAACTTATTCTAAGGAAAAATGTTTTTAGATGAAAAGGGATTTAATTCTAAAATTAAAATGTAACACACAGAGACAAAGCCAGAATTTCTAGCCCCTTATGTGTAAAACCATACATCTTTCTAAACATGTTAGCCTGTTTTTGGTAAAATTTACAAAAGAACTAGCTGAAAAAGAAAGGTTTCGCCTTGTATTGAGGTGATCGTTTTTCTTGGTCACCAGCTCTGAGCTGTAGCACCTGTGTGTGCAGGGGGCCAGCTTGCATTATTCTCCCGCCTCAGAATGCAGCCACACAGCAGGGCCCGGGGGTCAGACGGGTCACGGACCGGCTCCTCAGCTAGATGCTGACTCCCAGGGGAGCACATGTAAGGGGTGACAAAATATACATGTGCTTAGTTGGTAGAGAGGAATTTTTTTTTTCTTTTTTTGGTATCAGGGATCGAACTCAGGACCTTGAGCTTCAAGGCAGGTAGCGGCACCACTGAGCCAAATCCCCAGCTTTAAATCTCTTAGTCTTAGTCACTCTCCTGGCTGAGTATCTCGTGGAGGAGAGGCTGAATGTAGCTCAGGCTTAGCAGTTTCTGTCCTGCGGCCTCGGCCTGGCTCACCTGAGGTGGGCAGGCAGCCCTTCTCGGCCCCTGGCCCCCATCTTGGAGCCCCTGAGCTCCATCCTTGTGAACAGCCTGGCCCAAGGCGCCCAGGTCTGACTCCAGAGGAGGCATCTGCAGCCTGAGCCCGGCCTGACACTGCCAGCCTCTCCCGGGGCGCCCTGCGGCCCCTGCACCCCGAGTTGGCTCAGCTCCAGGACAGAGGCCAAAGGACAGGGGCTGTAAGGCTGACAAGGAGCCATCCCTGCAAGCCCCAAGGAGCGTCTTAGCTTTTCTACCTGCTGTCATTCACACTGGTTCCCGTTTTTAAAAACTGGCAGGACATAGAGGGTTATGTTTCTCAGTTTGGCTCTGCTACACCCACTGCATTTGCTTTGCTTTCATTAGTTTTCTGTCACACTTTTCTAGTAAGCTTTGTGACTCCTGCCTACCCAGATGCTCATGTTCCAAGCTGCAGTCCCCTGCAGAACAGGTGAGATTAAACCTAAGATAGACTCTGGGTAAACTGCTCTGCCTGAACTTACTCTGTTGCTCACATTTGGCTACAGAGGGTTTGTAACCCTGATTTCAACTCCATCACTGTGGGTGACCAGCCAGCAGGAGGGCTCGCCCAGGGCCAAGGGGCAACGCCCACAGGTGGTCAACTAGCAGCATCCTTCGAGAAGAAAAATACACACCAATGGGCAGAAATTGTCAGGGTTAAGGAGGGGTCACTTGCGCCAACCCCAGTGGGAAATACAGAGCCACAGAAGTCACAGAAAGAACAGTTCTAATATGGGTGTGGTGGTGCAGCCTGCAATCCCAGCCCTCGGAGGCTGAGGCAGGAGGGTTATAAATTCAAGGCCAGCCTGAGCTACAGAGCAAGATTTTAAAAAAAGGCAAAGTTAAAAAGGGTAAGAATGCAGGCTTGCCTAAAAGCAAAAGCTTTTCTGAGGCAGGACAGAAGAAATAAAGATAGAAAGGAGACAAGAAAATTGTAATTTAAAAATTGAACTTTTAAAGCCAGGTGCGGTGGCACACACCTGTAATCCCAGTACCAGGGAGACTGAGGCAGCAGTTTGGGCTACTCAGTGA